TATAATATTAATATTTTATTACATCACATTTTGACTAATACAAATCAGTGGCTTAAAGCATGCTTCTTTCCAGCCAAAACTTGCACAATTTGAAAGCAAATCCAAGTTCTACCAACTTACAGCTCATCCTTCACCGACTTCTTTTCAACCGTTGGATCAAGCAATACATAAACATGATACATGGATATTCGAACCAAGGATGTATGAAGTAAACTCATAAAATTTTAAGAAGACGTAAATATATTATCAATTAAAATATAAAAAAATTATAAGGGCAATCGCCCGCCAATCCTACTCGATCCATCCCTGAAGCGAACAAACTCCCCTTAGCTCAATGCGGAAAAGAGAATGAGATAAGAGATGCCAAGTCCGTTGTATGAGTTGTGTACAGTTTGCCAAGAAAAGGTATGAACTGGCCGACCAAGTGTGATTCAGAAATGGAGGTTTGTCGATTTAGGCTGTTGGAATTGACCGAGACACAACAGATCGGGTTCCGCAGATTTTGTCCTCCCCACACTCTCGCTCTTGTCCAATTCATGCGATTGATTATGGCAACAAGGGATTTATTGAATTAAATTGGAACAACAGCATCATTAATGAATTACCATGCATGGCATTGTGATTTCGTCAATAAGCTTGGCAAAGTCGATAGATTTATCCTTTTTGCTCCGGATGCCACCAAGTGGTTTGAATTGGTGCTTTTCGTCATTTAACATGATGAAATTAAATATTGACAGAGGGTTTCATGCAACTAGAGATGGCAGACGTATTGTATTTGCTTTAATTGGAATGGAATCAGTATAAGTTTAGTGGGTAATAGGAGGGTGTGGATGTAAAAAGTCATATCGTCGTGGATAGTGGGTAGGTGATGGGTTTAAGACCTTACCCGTCTCGTATCCGCCCATCCACTAACTACCAACTATATAAATTTTGGATTATTATAATAGGTATAATTTTAGAGACTATTCTATAGATCTTAAAATTTCATAAGACATAATTTATAATTTAACCAAATGTTAGGTATAAACATTTTTAGAATTTAAGGTCGTTGTTTTTTTTATCTCAAATTGGCAGGTATAGGCAGGTACAGACAAGTACGAGATGGGTGGTAGGTATACAATTGGATAATGGGTGTAGAGGTGGATTGGAAAATATACATGCTTGGGTGGATGTGGATTTAAAAATTTTACCCGTCATAAATAGTAGGTAAATAGTAAATAAAATATATTAGGTAGATATAGAGATAAGAAGGAGTATCCGCACTCTTTTACCATCCCTACATGCCACGTCTAAGATTGTTACGTTGGATAGTTAATACATTATCACACAAGATCGTGCTTGAATGCATAGACAAATATAAAATTTTAGACTAAATTATGCATTTAGTGTTTAAATTATTAGTTCTGGTTCATTTTAATACATAAACTTTCAATTTTTTTTAAACTCTACATAATGTTTAGTTTTTGTTTTATTTTATTATCCCGTAGTTAAAAAATTAACGGACGAAATCGTCGGTCGTTTGGATCTACAATCGTCGGCCGTCGCGTTCGTAGGCCAATGAAGCCCAAATTCTTCAGCTCCCACCTTTTCGACACCTTGAACATGATTCGACCTTTGTTTTGTCGGAAAATGCCTCAATCTCCCCAAATCGATGATGGACTCTTCGACTTCTTCATCCTTCGATCTTCATCGTCAACTGTCAGATGGGCATGAAACTGGACTATGTCAGTCGACTCATCATTCTCCCATGGTTCATCGTTCTAATCGATCTTCCATCCACCGAATCTATGCCCAGTCAGCTCATTCATTATGTTTTTAACGATGGGGGTACTAAAATGAAACAAAAACTAGACATTAGGTATGATTTTAAATTTTGAAAGTTTAGGTACTAAAATAGATCAAAACTGATAGTTTAGGTACTAAACACGTAATTTATCAAAAAATTTATGTTTAAAGACGAACTTATTAAATTTAGGAGACAAAAATATATTATCAATAAAAAATACAAAAAAATACCTAAATTATATAATAATTTAAAATTTTCAAAGGACGATATTCTCCACCACCCCTCGATGACTTTTTCTAATTTTTATATCATTGTTTTTGTTAAAATTTAAAACAAAATAACAATATCGTGTGTGTATATATATATAAAAGGGGGTTGACGAGTATAGTTCTAGGCTATGTTCATGGAATCATGTACAACAGTCAAAAATAAAAATATATACAAACTAGGTGAAAACGATGGAATTGGATTCTTTTAAATAAAAATTACTATTAATTTTGAACGAAAGGAATATATAATTCTTGCTTTTATTATTATGAAGAATATCATTAATTTTCTTATATCCTTAATTATTAAAACTACCTATCAAATCACTTTAGTCAAGCACAAATTAATGTAAACACTAAAGAAATGTTTAATAATACCATTCCACATATAATTTTATTTTTATACAACTACTTTTTTTTTTACCATTAATGGGTTTGTTAATTTTCATGACTAAAGCTAACATGAATTCATCAGGACAGTTTCGACATAAGATATTTAAAAAAAAATAGTATTTTCTTCGTATTTTTTATTGATAATATATTTTTATCTCCTAAATTTAATAAGTTCGTCTCCATATATAAAATTTTGGATAAATTACGTTAGTACCTAAATTATTAGTTTTGGTCTATTTTAGTACCTAAACTTTAATTTTTTTTAAAACCATACATAATGTTTTGTTTTTGTTTTATTTTAGTACTTTTTAGTTCCGTATTAGAAAAAATAGTTTTTAAAAAATTAAGGGTGAAATTAAAAAAATAAAACATTAAGGATTAATCTTATTATTATGCCTAAAATAAATTGAGTTTTTTTTTACTTTTCAAGAATGTTATGTGTCAATTTTTTATTGGTCCAACGTCAATTTCCATCATAAAAATTGACAAACAAGAACGATAAAATCCACAATTTGATAGATTAAATATGTTTGTTGAGCCTCACTTATTGTCTAAGATTATACCTTTTTTTGGATTTTAGGGGGGAAAAATCAAATGAGTTATGAGATTAAGTTATCCACACAACTAGCATTCTAAGTATGTTAGTTTAAGCTCAACCTCACATTGACAAAATGAATGCTACCCACTTTACCAACTTAATTAGTCCAAATTTAATTTAATTTAAATTATGATGGCAATAAATTTATCTCATCGTCCGCGGATGATTTATCTCTTTTTAATTTGATATAGAATCGTAATCGGTGAGAGATCGATTTTTAGTTGGTGTTTGAATAAAAAAATTGATCAGTGAAGAAGAAGATAATATAGAAGTTGTGAAAGTTCTATCATTTTTTTACGGTCTTAGTTAGAGATATTTATATTGACTTTTAGTGTGTTAGTTGTAGGGACATTATGTTGAAAAAAATCGATAATTTTGGAATTTTGAATGAGAAATTGATCTAAACGTTGTTGAGGAAAACGTGGAACCAATTGTTGGTTCATAAATGTAAGACGAGCACAATATGAGTAACGTAAATATCTGAACTGATCGTGTCTTCCGTGGGCTTACGGATATTTTAACCCGAATTTAATATATATATATATATATATATATATATATATTTCAAATAAAACATATCTTTTCAAAATTCAATTTTGAAATTAAAATGATAAATATTAAAAGATTTTTTAATTTAGACAATAATTTTGAAAATTGTTTGTTATGATTATTGATTCTCTTTTATTAAATGTTTCGTTAGATCAAAACTTCCTATAACTTACTATGTGAAATGCCTATAAATACTGTGTAAATCTATTAGGTTAAACACAATTCAAAACAACTCGAAAGTAATTCAAAAGAATTATTTTCTTTTTCTCTATTTTTTTTGTGATAGATTAGATAGTTAATAGTTCATGATCTCTACAGAAGTACAATTATAGTTGATTATCTGATTGTTGTATCTTGGGAGACAGACAATCAATGATCTTAATTACCATAAAAGTGACCCAAAATTCATCTTAAAGATATTGTATAGCTACATATGTCAACTCGTTTCAATATATTATTTCATTAAAACATATATCTATTTTTATATTGTTCTTTTCTATTACTAATAAAATATTTATATACTTTTAACACATTATTAGAGTAGAGTGCATAACTAACAATTAGTTGATCTAGATGGATGATGCATTAAGTCTCTTAAGTAAGGTTAGAGATTCGAATCTTGATGTTTGCGAATAGAGCAAATTGGGTTGGGAGAGTCGCCCTCACCTCTTCAGTACCCGAGCAAACTAGGTTGGGAGGGTCGTTCTCGCTTCTGCACTACTCGATCTGAATTAGTTGATTAATAAATCAGATACTAGTGATTAATTAAAAAAAACAGCGGAGTGCATAAAATTCGGACAAGTGGGATAACTAGTAAATGTACACGTGTACACAGTTAACGTCATCTTCATATGATTACTGTTGGCAGCCATAGTTTAAGCTTCCTCGTAGCCAATATAACGTCATCTTCACCATGATCACTTAATTGGCAGCCATAGATTAAGCTTCCCCATTGCCAATATTTTGTTCTCTCTTCGCTGCCGTTTTAGTTATAAAGAGTTCCTCCTTAAACAGTATATATGTAACCATTTTGACTTAAAAAAAAGCGGAGATTCTCCAAAATCTTTCTCAGGTAGATTTTTTCCCATTTGTGTTCTTGATGCTGCTGTTTGGTTGGAAAGAAAATTTGGGTTTTTTCCCCCGGGAAAGTGAAGGAGTGACGTGGGAAACTCTCAGTTAAAACCCAAAACCATAAACAATTATAAAAATAATAAAAAATAGAGAATTGGTTTGGTTTGCTTTGCTTAGACATTAATAACAGGTAGCTTTGGAGTGTTGAATTTGAATATTTTTTTTCGTCCATAATTACTTGTTTACATCTCACTCATATCTAAATTAATTTTACATATCTCACTTCTCTCTTATTTATTAAACCAAATTCTTTCACTTTCTACTCTTCTATCGTCAAAAAGAAAAACCTTTACCTTCTCTGATCTCTTTCATTCAAAAAGCTGGGTTTTTTGCAGACACCCAAATTCCATAACCTTGTTTTTCGCTTGGTTTTTGCAGTGAAGTTGATGTTTTTGAATCACAGAGAAGAAATTAAGGTACAAAAACTGTCCTTTATTTTTAATACTAATTTTTACGATTGTTTCTCCTTTCTGTTTTTGTTGGGATCTGTTTTCAGATCTTTGATATTATTCTCTCCTCTTGGTTTTAACTGCATCTTCTTTCATTTTAGTAAAAACCAATCTGGGAATTTCTTTCTGTTAATAATTACAATGGATTAGATCTAGTTCAAGGTATAAACAGAACATATGGCAGCTTTTGCTGAAAAAGAAAGGGATTTTAAAATCTATTTTTGAACTTTATGTAAGCTTTTTTTTCTAAAAAGTTCACAACTTTGTTCTCTTGTCTTTTTATTCATTGGGAAGTGATTAAAAAGAAGATTCTCCAGGTGAAATGAAAGGTCTTTGATCATGGAGCAATCTCTGTCTTTGGTGCTTATAATTTGATAATTGTTGGTTCTTAATCTGGGTCGGTTGCAGCTGCCGTGTCACGGTTGTATCGACCTTGAAAAACGCTACGATGCGGTTGTTACACTATAGTTGTAGCCGCAATTTGGTACTATAATCTGGGTTATGTCAGTGTCATCTCTGATATAATTTGAAGATAAGGTTGTTTCTGTTTTCATCTGTATTCCTTGTTTGATATTCATTTATTTCTGTGCCTGGGAAATGTTTTAAAGAAATCTTGGAGGAAGATGATAGTTATCTTTTCGAGTTTTTAGCCGAACAACAATTACTACATGGTGGTTTTGATTGATCATATGAACAGCTTTGTCCTCGCGAGTCGCGAACTTTTCGTTCGAACTATTTTAATTTTAGTGCCTGCTGGTAGCTGTTTCAGTTCTTTCTTTGAAGGAAATTTCCATGATTCCAAGTTCGATGCCGATCTAACCTGTCCTGCATTTCGTGTGTGCAGAGTAGCTCTCAATTTCCATATGTTGTATGGTCGGAGGTATCGTGATCCGAGGCTAACCGATGATAAAACATGAAACTCGGTAATTACACCATTCCTAATTTTCCTTCTGCTCACCTCTGCCTCGCAGTGTATCTCTCGGTGCAAGTCTTCGTCTTTCAGATGTTATTCTGCTGACTGTATTTAGACATTTATATATGAAGATTACGATGTTTATCGGATATTTTTTATGCACTTGCAGATAATGAACAAGCGATTCGCCATTCAACTATAGTAGGATATAATAGTGACTCGAAGCCTTATTCCTTGGTATCTTTTGAGAACAAAGCAAAGCCTTTGGATTCCACTGGACTGAGCGTAGATGAAATCGTGAAAGAAAATCGGAATGGAACCGTGCCTGATGAAAAGGGTGATGGTCGGGATTCAGATTTCTCACGATATTCGGAGAATACACAGGATGAATTGACAGCATCGGAACTCGACTGCTTTAACAGTGCACATGACTTTGCCAATGGTAATGAAAAGGAGGTCAGAGATTTTGTGACACCGAATTCTCATTCTTCGGAGAATAAGGATTCGTTTCAGGACTCGTTTTTTTATTTCGACAAAAGTGTAATGGAATGTCAATTGCCTGGATTGGTAGTTTGTTATAATGAGAGCACATATCATGTTGTCAAGGACATTTGTATTGATGATGGAGTTCCGACACAAGGTAAGTTCTTGTTTGACACTGGTGTGATTGAGAAGAGTGGCTGCTACTTTCCGCAATCCGAAAACAATCAAGATAGTAAACTGATGAAAGAGAGGTCGGAGATCGATATGCCCATGCAAGATGTTTCCTTCTCTCCGGAAGGAAATCAGTCTGGGAAAGACATCAACAATGATTGTGGCTCTAATAAAAAGCAGGATACCGGCACACGTATGCAAGATGTTCCCGTATCTCTTGAAGAAAACGAGTCTAACGAGGGGATTCCGAATCAATCTGATTCTAAGGATTTGACGATGACAATGGAAATGAAGGATGGTGAGACGAAAATGATCACGGATGATGTCTTGAAAGAGTTGTTTACCCAAGGAGATATACTTTTGATGCCTGAATCAACCACGGTGAAACCCGAAGCCATTTCTACAAATCGTGTAAGTGATGGAATGGAACAACAGTCCTTCAAGGTAAGCTTATCTAGGTTCAAAGTTGACAGTATTTCAATTTACGATATCGAAACTCCTTGTAATAACATCACAGATACACTATATACGCAATGAATTGTATACAGAACGAGAGTAAAAAAGAAGTCATAATTGTTTCTGCGGTTGAAGAATCGAACAATCCAAGCGAAGAGTCAAGTCTTTCAGCTCCTGCTTTGGTCTCTGCTGCCGAAGAATCCAACTGCGGGAAAACGGATGCTATGCCGATCAGTCCTGCTCGGGCGTGTGCTTCAGAGGAAGCATCCAGGAGCAGCCTTGTCAAGCAAGTATCTGATGATAACAACCTGGAAACTGGAACCATCACATCCGACTCCGGTTCTTCTGCACCAACAACCAGCAAAGATGATCGTGAACCTCTCAAGACCGGAAGAGCTCCCGAAGATGCAGCTGATCCGCCTTTTTCAAACTATCTCCAACACGGATACGGAGAGTCTAGTTTCTCTGCAGCAGGGCCTGTAACAGGTCTAGTAAGTTACTCTGGCCCGATAGCATATTCAGGCAACCTCTCCCATAGATCGGACAGCAGCACGACAAGCACTCGCTCTTTCGCCTTCCCCATGTAAATTCGTTGGCAAACTATTTGTTTCCCGTCTCGATCCTCTTCTATATCCTATTCAAAAACTAACTATTGCCCCTTATTCTCACTTTTCCGATACATACAGATTGCAGTCCGAATGGAATAGCAGTCCAGTACGAATGGTGAAAGCCGACCGGAGACAATATCGGAAGCACCGCGGTTGGAGGCATAGCTTTCTTTGCTGTAAATTCTGAAAAGAAGAGGAAAATAAAGTTCAATACCATCCTTAGGTTATATACAAATATATTATTTTTGCTTATCAAAGTTATATACAATAAATCATCCCCTTTTACCTCGCTTGGCATGTAATTTTCAGTAGGTTTAGTGTGTTTTCATGCTGAGTTTTGATTTTCACGTATCATTATGGTGTTTTGTTTTTTTGTTCACTAACATTAAATGAATTTTATAAATGAATTTGTCTGTGAATATATAAACAATACGCTTATAAATGTTAAATATACTAAATATAAATACTTTTTTAAAAAATCGAATACGAATCAAACATAAACATTTTCAAAAATAAATAAATAAAAATAAAATTTTTTAAACCAGATTCATTTACACACCCACACGTCTGCACAGAGTTGCCATTGTTGGTCAAACATTCAGGCTACCTTTGTCCACCTCCATCACTTTTCGATGGCCGTTCATGGATTTACTACACATGCACGTGTGTTCCCTTTCCAACAAGCGGAAATTTATTACATTTGACTGCTTTGGGTTGGGTATGTTTTATTCTTCCAATGAATCCTTGGATAAAGTTTGTACAGGAAAGGGGTACTTGTAATAATAATTCTTTGCTGTCAAGCACCAAACTCCCAGGAATCTGGTTCTTTTAGAATCTGAATCATCAATAAAACACATCCCCATTAAACAGAAAGAATATGCAAAGCTGAACTTGTTCCCCTCAACACATGAGCTGGTAAGGGATGTGCTAAAGAATGAATTAAACCCATAATCGAATGATCAAACACTTTGTTTCTCTGTCAGAAAGCTCATAAATTTACTAAAAATAGCAGCATGAAATTGGTGCTTTTGGTGGACATGTGTGTTAGGCCTTGCTATAATAAAACAAAACCTAGGGTCCTACTCATACCATATGGTAGGTGACATGAAACTAAAAAGCATACAAATTTATGCTTTCCCATGGAAGTGTTTTAGGAGCCTGCATCCTTGTGCTTTGTGTGTCTGTTCCCTTTTTCTATGTATGAGGCTTTTGCTTGATACAACACATTGAGAAAAGTCATACAGAACAAAGAAAGAAAGAAAGGAAGGAAGGAAATATTTATGTCATCCATGGAGTTGATAGTATACATCACGGTGCTGTGGTTTGCCTTCTTTGCACTGCAAGCACCTTGTACTTCCCTGGAAATGAAGCTGCATGCCTCTGATGGACAAGGTAAAGCACTTATAAAGAAAAGATCTCTGCTGATGCATCAGATGAACAATTTATTCCTTCCGGTTTAGACAGAGAGTCGCAGTCACTGATCGGTTCCTTCGTCCAACCGCGACTCTCTGCCTAAATCGAAAGAGATAAACCGTCGTCGTTACCCGACCCGACTATCTTTGTCCCAACAGTCTCCCTTTTTGTGTTTTCATTTTTTAACGAGTTTGATTGGTTTATCTCGAGCAGCAAAAGGAATTGAGCTTTCTCAGTACCCATCACTTCCGAGGAAGATCAGGTTCACCGAGGAAGCTGTAGCAGTAAGAATTTATCCAGAAAAATGCATATATAATCTTTAGTACTAGTATTTTAGAATTGTTACAATCCGATCCTTAGACTCGTATGTCTTTTGTTTTTTTTATTTCTAAAACAGATTAAGGTAAATGAAGCTCACCATTCGATTTCAAACACCAAGCAGAAGGAACATGTTCCCGGTAACATATCTAACAAGCACTCATGTTCATGTGCGTAGATATTGTTAGATTTTAGGTTTAGCACATCGAAAATAGCATAAAAAGAATTTAGGTTTAACCAACTTGGATTCAAACTCTAATATTTTCTTACTTTTTATAATCAGTATACAAAGAGAAAAATAGTAAACTGCAGATTCTATTTCGATTGAATTTCTTCGTAATCATCTCGAATGTAATAAAAAATTTAGATCATAAAACTCTAACGTTTCGTATAACATTAGTGCATGGAAGTGGAGGCACGAGGCAAGAATGGGTGGAGTCCGGGGCCGACATTTCACACTATTTTTCGATGGATTATTCCCACGTAAAAAGACGACGCCCCATACACAACAAGTCATTGCCGGTCGGTCCTTGAAACCTGGAGGATCCAATTTTATTCCGACAAGTACAGATAACAATCTCATTCCGACCAAGATTTTGTTAGTGTAGTTTAGCCACTAATGTTTTTTTTCCTTCTGTGATTAGGGAAATGAGGAACTCTTGTCTTCTTTTTGTTTATGTTTATGGCCGACAGCCAAAAAGGTTGAAATAAGATTTTGTTTACGTAAAACCAGGGTACTTGGGGAGTCTGAGTTGTTTTGTGGTTCTCTCTTGGTAGTGAAAATGGTGGCTACAAACCCCAATATACCTAATCTTTTTACCAATACTCAATGTTTCGCATTTAATAATATTAAATAAGCACCAATCAAGCAATGAACTATTGTTACTTCTTCAGGTATTAGGTTCGAGCATTAGGAATGTAAGGGGTGTTAACGTTTAATGTTAAATAATTGAGAGTTATTTTTGAATAAATATTTTTTTGTCCTTAACTCAGATTAATAAAAAAATATTAAATAACAAATTGGGTAAATTATAATTTTGTACCTAAACTATCAACTTTGATCTTTTTTAATACCTAAACTTTTAATTTTTTTTTTAAAATATACCTAACGTTTAGTTTTTATTTTATTTTATTACCTCGCCGCTAAAAGCTTAATGTCACTTCATTTTTTATGGATAAATTACATCATTTATCTCTCAACTATATTCTTACTCTTATTTTGATACTAAAGTTTAAAATTTTTCAATTTAACTACTCAACTTTCAAATTGTTCATATTTTAAGCAATCTAATTTATTTCATTAATAATTTTTGTGACATGGTATTTATTAATATATAATTAAAAATAAAACAAATTGAAAGTTAGAGTGATTAAATTAGGAGTAATTTGAAAATTGAGTAATTAAATTAAAAAATTTAAACTTTAATGAACAAAATAGGAATGAAAATATAGTTGAGTAATGAGTGATGCGATTTACTAGTAAAATAGGTGTCACGTGCAGAACTACATAATAAAAGAGATATCAAAACGACGTAGTTTGCACAGAAAAACAAAGGTATATAAGCAGCGGAGAAGATGCAAAGAAATCTCAAAATCCATTAGATTCCAAAAGAGAAAAAATGGAAGGTTTTTTGAAGCGCGCCAAGTCCTTCGCTGAAGAAGCGGCAAAGCCGAACAAAATCGCCGGAACCGCCAAGAAGTCCAGGGAGCTTGCTCTTGAAGCCTCCAATAAAGCCGATGAATTCAAAACCGCGGTTCTCCGGCAAGCCGATCAAATCCAATTCCAGAGCCTCTCCAAGTCCATTTCCGATAATATCCCTCCTCAACTCTCCTCCCTCTCCGTTGCCGCCCCCGGTTCATATTTCTCGGATCCTCCGCAATATACGATTCGGAGCTCCGGAACTTTGGTCTCACTGATGATTTGAGAGGATTCGTTAGAGGTTTCACTTCTAGTACTTTCCAGAACTTCTCTTCCCTTGTCCGCGGTAATTTCTTCATTCGATTTTATATATTTTTCTTTAAAAAGTGAAAAACCAAAATTTGAAATTCAGTTTTTCCGAGTATATGAACCGGAACCGTCCGATGCGAGTGTTGCGGGGACCAATGTACGGAAGGATCTGAGTGAATGGCAAGAGAGGCATGCCACTCTTGTTCTTACTACTGTTGAGGTGAAAAGTTACATTTAAATTTTGAATTACGTTTCTAAAATTTGGACGAAAAGAAAAAACTAAAAAGGTGACATTTGTGGTCATATATTTGTTTTAAGATGAATTTTCGTGTAATTTTTTATCATTTTAAATTTCAATTGCCATCGAAATATGCAAGAATCGTATCAGATATTGTACTTCGATAATTAATAATTTATGTAAAACAAATTTTTCTTATGCAGGAAATCAAGAAATTAAGATATGAATTGTGCCCGCGTGTGATGAAAGACAGAAAATTTTGGAGGATATATTTTGTTCTTGTTAGTACTTATGTCGGCCTGTAAGTGTTTGATTAGTATTACAAAAGTGGTAATTTAGGATAAGGGATCGAAGTACTGTTTAGATGTAAGGTATTTCTACCGATTTTTTTATTATTGGGCGCTCTACCGATTTGGTAAAGCGTTACCTAAAACATTTTACCGAAAATATTAAAAACATTAATGTTTTAGGTAGAATTAATAATGTTTCTGTAATTTTTTACCGGAAATGTTAAAAATAATAATAATAAAATCGGTAACGTCTTTTCTTAGCCGTATATTAAGGTCGCCGCACGGTAGAATTTCCCCAATGTCACCAATCAGTTGGTCTAACATGACATATTACTATAACGTGGTAGGCTTCCGTACACACGTAGGGGTGTAAACGAAGAAAGGGTATGAAATGTTCGTGAACCGTTCATATAACGTTCGTTTATTAAGTTAAATAATAGAATAAATTTTTTATGAATGAACACGACTAAATGTGTGTTTGATTCATTTATGTTCACGAATAAGCTCATTTTTCGGATCGCTTATAAGCTCGTTAACCCGATTTCTTTTTATTTTTTTACATTTTAAATATTGGTGAAGGTAGAGACTAAATTGAATATATAATAAATTTTAGAGTTTAAACAGTAAAGTTTAAAGAGTTTAAGGACTAATGGTGTAATTTCACCATTTCTCGTTATCTTTGCAAATGAAAGGGTAAAAGGAGATTGTACAAGTAAACATTAGATGGAACTCACAAACGTTAAACGAATTAAATATGAATATCTTCGAAAATAAATAAACGAATACGATTACATATTCTTCCCCAGATTCAAACGCACCAATTGTTAGGAAATAAACCGAGTACGAGTAATTTCCCTATAACCAGATTAGTGAGAATGCGAAATAAAAGCGGAAAAATAATACCCGAAATTGATAACGGAGTTCAGCCAATTGTGCTTACATCTCCGGATTGCTGCAGATCTTTTACTAAGAGAGAAAATTTACAGGTGTTTACAAAACACTCACTACTCACAAGAAAACTCTCTAGTATTGGGAGAAAGAAATTATTTTTGGGATTGTTTTGAAGCTAAATGAGCTAGGGTATTTATAGTTGAAACTAAGGACTTAATCTTGTAAATACCCTAAAGCCTAGGGATTAATTGTGATTATCACATTATCATTTTTCAACAAACATCTACCAAACTTTGAAAAACTATTTTTCAAAGAAACATTTACCAAACTTTAAAAATCATTTTCAAAGAAACATTTACCAAACTTTGAAAACCATTTTTTCAAAGTTGGTTGCCAAACTTGAAAATCATTTTAACAATACTTTCAACAATCTCCCACTTGAAGACTGATTTTAATCTGTCTTCACACCTCAATCAATGCAACAGCTTTTCTAGTCTTGTTACTCTAGCATGCCAACTGAAGTTGAACACAACTTCAGTTTGTCTGTAGTCACCGTCTTTATCAACAAGTCTGCCGGATTTTGAGCTCCACTGATCTTTTCAAGTTTTAAAATCCCATCTTCCAGAAGAGACCGGATAAAATAATATCGCAATTGTATGTGCTTTGTCCTGGAATGAAAAAATGGATTCTTTGCTAGATGTATAACACTTTGACTGTTGCAATACAAGACATTGTTTTCTTGTTTCTTGCCTAACTCTTCTAAGAAACTTTGGAGCCAAACCATCTCCTTGCTGGCTTCCGTAACAACGACATATTCTGCTTCAATTGTGGAGAGAGCAACTATCTTCTGTAGTTGAGAAACCCAACTCACTGCGGTTCCTCCTAGAGTATAGACATACCCTGTAGTGCTCCTTCTGATGTCAACATTTCCGGCTAAGTCAGCATCTACATAGCCTGTCAGTATCGTATCTCCACCTTTGAAACAAAGTGCTTTGTTTGTAGTACCGCGCAAATATCTGAGGATCCATTTGACTGCTTCCCAATGTACCTTGCCTGGATTATTCATGTACCTGCTAACAGCTCCCACTGCTTGAGCAATATCTGGTCTGGTACAAACCATGGCATACAATAGACTTCCAATTGCTGAGGCATACGGCACCTTCACCATGTGTGCACGTTCTTCCTCCGTCTTTGGTGACTGTTCTTTGGAGAGTCTAAAATGAACACCTAAAGGTGTACTTACTGGTTTAGGATCTTGCATGTTGAACCTGGAGAGTACTTTTTTGATATACTCAGCCTGTGATAACATCAAAGTCCCCGACTTTGTGTCTCTCGTAATCCTCATCCCAAGAATCTACTTTGTAGCGCCCAGATCCTTCATAGCAAACTGCTTCAACAATTTTTGCTTCAAGTTTATAATCTCTTGCATGTTTGAGCCTGCAACGAGCATGTCATCAACATACAATAATAAAATAATGAAGCTATTGTCGAACCTCTTGATGTAGCAACAATGATCTGCTTGGCATCTGGTAAAACCACTGCTACCCATGAAGCTATCGAACTTCTTGTACCACTGTCTAGGAGCTTGTTTTAAACCATACAAGCTCTTCTTCAACCTCCATACCAAGTTTTTCTTGCCTGCCTCTATGAAGCCTTCTGGCTGCCTCATATAGATTTCTTCCTTTAAATCACCATGAAGGAAAGTTGTCTTTGCATCTAACTGCTCAAGATGTAAATTTTCTGCAGCTACAGTTTTCAACACCAGTCTGATTGTAGACAGTTTTACAACTGGAGAGAAAATTTCATTGTAGTCAATACCTTCCTTTTGCTGAAAACCTTTGACAACCAATCTTGCTTTGTAGCGTTTGCTCCCATCGTGCTCTTTCTTGATCCTGTAAATCCACTTGTTGTGGAGCGCTTTCTTGCCTGATAATAATTCAGCTAATTCCCACTTCTGATTTGACATAAGCGAGTCCATCTCATATTTCATGGAAGACTCCCACTTGACTGAATCCTCCACCTGCATTGCTTCATCATAGCACTCTGGTTCACCATTGTCAGTCAGCAACAAGTATTGCAAAGAAAGAGAATAACGTTGGGTTGATTTAGGAATTTTGGAGGAGCGTCTTAGTTCCAGTGTGTCTGGTTCTTCTTGAATTGCTTCAGGACTGATCTGAACATCATTTCCAGAAATCTCCTCGAACTCAGCAAATTCCTTTGTTTCAGCTTTGGTATTGGAGCTGCTTGATTCTACAGTTGACCTGTCTTTGTACATCACATTCTCATTGAAAATGACATCTCTGCTTCTGATGATCTTCCGATTTTCATAGTCCCAAAACTGGTAGCCGAACTCATCACCACCATAACCAACAAAGACACATTTGTTGGACTTGGCATCAAGTTTACTTCTTTCAGCAGAGTTTATGTGTACATAAGAAATACAACCAAACACTCTTAAGTATGAAAGGTTCATTTATTTCTTGCTCCAAACTTCCTCTGGTATTCTGCCATCCAAAGGAACTGAGGGCCCGCGGTTGATCAAGTAAGTTGCAGTGTTGATAGCTTCAGCCCATAGAAATTTGGGCAATCCGGCATGTATCCTCATGCTTCTGGCACGTTCATTCAGAGTTCTGTTCATGCGCTCTGCTACGCCATTCTGTTGCGGTGTCATGAGAACTGTTGTCTCTATCTTGATCCCATTGTTTGCGCAAAATTCTCTGAATCTACGATTTTTGTATTCTCCTCCATTATCAGACCTCAACCGCTTGACTTTCAGACCAGTCTCATTTTCCACCATGACCTTCCATTTTCTGAAGGTATCAAAGACTTCTGATTTTTTCTTCAGAAAATAAACCCACACCTTCCTTGTAGAGTCATCGATGAAGGTGACATAATATAATGAGCCTGCAAGAGATGGAACTGGAGATGGTCCCCATACATCAGTATAAACCAACTCTAACTTTTCAGCCTTGGGTGTCTTATCAATCTTTGCAAAGCTGACTTTCTTTTGTTTGCCAAAGATGCAATCCTTGCATAGTTAGACATCTACATTCTTTAGATCCGACAACTTCCCCTTTGACAAAAGTGTCTTCATCCATTTCTCACTCATATGGCCAAGCCTTTGGTGCCATAGGTTTGATTTTCCATCAGCATCTGCTACTACAATAATATTCTCTAAATTTGAGGTTATATAGAGAGTACCAGTTTTCTTACCACGAGCAATGAGGAGTGCTCCTTTGGTAATCTTCCATTCACAGCCAGAAAAGGTTGTACTATATCATTCTCCATCAAGCTGTCCTACAGAAATCAAATTCCTTTTGAGGCCAGGAATATGTCTCACTCTTGTCAGCTTCCAGGTGGTCTGGTTTGGCAACTTTAATCGGATGTCACCTTTTCCGACGATCTTCAAGGTTTCATCATCGGCTAGATGAATCTTCCCAAAATCACCACTGACATAGTTCTCCATGATTTCTCGGCATGGGGTGGAGTGGAAAGATGCCCCTGAATCCAAGATCCATGATTCAATCGGAGTATTGACGCTTAGAATCATGACATCACCTGTCTCCTCTGTCATGTTGGCAGATTCCTGTACACCGGTATATTTCTTCAGTGCTCGACAATCTCTTTTAAAGTGACCCTTCTTGCCATAATTATAACAGGTAAAATCTTTCTTTCCTGTTCTTGATTTGCCCCTTCTGGATTTCAATCTGCCACGATTTGAATTTCTTTCTGAAGTTCTCCCTCTGGACTCCATGTGCAAGGTTGAGGAGGTTGATGCTTCACCAGATTCTCTCCGTCGAATTTCTTCGCTCAGTACCAGATCCCGAACATCGTCGAATTTCAATTTACTATTTCCCGACGAGCTGCCAACTGTTGTAACAGTAGCATTCCAACTGTATGGTAGAGATGATAAGAGAATTAAAGCTCGAACTTCATCATCGAATTCAATTTCCACTGAACTCAACTGGGCTGTGATTGTGTTGAGTTCATTTAGGTGTTGTGCCATCGATGCCCCTTCCGTCATCCGCAAATTGAATAATCGCCTCATCAAGTGCACTTTGTTTGAGGCTGATGACTTCTCATACATACTGGAGAGAGCCACCATAAGACCCGCCGTGGTCTTT